CTTCTTTGGCTGCGGTGCCTCTTCGCCTTTCGTCTTTCATCCAAACTAGATAATAGTCAACTGTCACTTATTAAATAAATATGTTTTGGCCCGACACATGAATTACAGTCGTGAAACTTGCCTCCAGTTTGTTTGCTGACACTTGGATTACTCCAAAGTCACCAAAACTAGTACCTAATCACTGCTTTCAGATCAATACTACAAAAATCAACTCCCGGTGAGCAGTCTGCTGAACGCCAAGACTCGCGACCTGATCATCGAAGGCATTTGCATCAATTCAGGCTACAACTCGCAAGTGCTACCCTCGGCTAAACCAGGCGAGCAACGTCAGCAGGTAAATGAATTTAATCGTTGATTGGCGAGTAATGTAGTAATGACATGGACAAGAAAATCAAAGCTCAAAGTGCTGGAATGAAGACTTGTAGGCACAGTTCGGCTTGGTGGGGGCACAAAGTGGTACGTAGCGAAGGCTGAAAGCTAAGCGTAGGGACATAAAATACCGCACAATCCTTCAGAAACGTTGGGGGTATCGTACAACACTTTAGCTTGGGCTTCGTTTTCAACTTTGCAGAACTGAATGCCTTTCCAATTTCTGGATTTTTTCTTGTGATTTTTCTGGTTTGACTGTTTTTTTTCAGTGAACCTAATTACGGTCTCTATTCCTTTTTTGAATCCCGTCATTCATAATTAGGAAGGAATTTTCCCCTGTTTTTTGCAGCTTTACATACGGTCCTCCTAGATGGGGCGTGGCAGGGAGGGGTCAGCCCGGCACCAGCTTGTTTTCCACCAATTATTGAAGTGAACAAAGGACAAGAATTGATAGACCACTGGCTGACGCGCGCCAAATCCAGCCCCTCCCTTTGGAACGCCCCAGTATTCGCAGCGAACATGACTGTAAAACACCGCCTCTGCTTTCCTCTGTTCTACCTCATCAACTGACTTTTCTTCAAAAAATGGTTGTTAATCTCTTAGTTAGTAAGGAAACTGTGAAATGTTCCAGGGGTCTGTTCGAAATCAGCAGATCAATAAACTTGTTGTTTAAGGTCGGTAACAAGACGGAATGCGCATTGCTGGGCTTTGTACTTGACATGCAGCAGAACTATGATGAGATTCGAGCCAAACATCCGGAAGAAACCCTCTTCAAGGTAAAAATACCTTGCACATTTTTACTTTCTGCAGTTTCTTTTTCGAAATCAGTCAATAATCAATATCATTCAAGGTCTACACATTCAACTCGTCTCGAAAATCCATGATGACGGTATTAGAGTTGAAGGAGGGCGTCTATCGCATTTACGCCAAAGGAGCTTCAGAAATCATTTTGTCAAGGTGATTTTTTTCTTTTTCTCATCCATGGATTCCTAATTAAAAGCGCGCGCTCCCGCTCGTTTTATGGGCGGAGTCGGGCCTACCTGCGTCTTAATCATTGGTGGTCTCCCTACCAAACCGCGAGACTATCTTACTAGCGTGAACCAAAGAATTTTGGCGCTATTCGACATAGCGATGGGCGAAGGGGCATCTTTGCAAGAAGGTGACCAAATCGGCATTGCCAACCCCCAAACGCTGCTTGCTTCACGATCATCGCCGATTACTTCTGTCCAAATGCTGCATGAAATTTCTCGAGAAGTTCCAGATTTCTCATTACGGCTTCCTCGGTTTCGCCGGAATGGGCCGCTTTTCTATGCGCCTCGTTTCGGACATAATTGAAGGTAATTGTTTTCAAAGAGGAGTTGGCATTATCGGAACGAGCAAAAGTTATTCATTCCGATCCATATTGAAAAATTTTTCGTTTATTGAAGTCCATGGAATCCTTGAATGGATACTCAGGGGCTCAGAAATACCGGCTAGATCTCCAGGGATGCGCCCGCGTTTTCGCTGTTTATTCAAAAAAGTCAATGGTCAGTTGACATTGTCGAGATCAGCTGGGACGTATTCAAGAGGGGTTGAATGAAGCGATCTGCGACGTTTCCACTACTGGTTAATCTCTTCTTGAATCGAACGCCTACCGGTCGCCACTGGTAGAGCAGGGCAGCAGGTGGAGGCTCATTCCGCCTCTCCGCTCACTCCGCCCCGATCGATCACGACCTTGTCAACTATAACTGCACCCCCTTGATGTCGAGCGAAATAGTTTTGCGCTCAGTGTGCAGTCTTGTAGCAGTGGAATCTAACTGCAACAGAAGACTATTTGGGGCCAATCCCCCCTCCCCCTCCCCCTCAGACATTCAAGGAAAACCACAAACTCACCAGCGCGAACGCTCGGTTTCATCCTGTGACCATTTCAGATGTTCGTACATGCTTGGCAATGAAGGAAAGATCCAAGATTTCTCTCCCCAACACGTAGCCGAACTCGTCAAAAATGTCATTGAACCGATGGCTTCGGATGGTCTCCGAACGATAGGCCTCGCCTATAAGGACATGGTTCCCGAGGGAACAAAGAAGGAAGAGAACGAGGTACGTCCAAATTTTCTTGTTCAATCCGAAGAAAAGGACTAATCAAGTGCTCGTGTAGGTTGAGTACAGCGGTCCTATTGATTGGGACGATGAGGAGACGGTTCAAAATGGAATGACATTGATTGGTATAATGGGTATTCAGGATCCTGTTCGGCCAGAGGTGAGTCAGTTCTTCTAAGGTGTGCTGAACTAGGATCCCAATTTTCGAGCAGAGTCTATGGGCGGAGTTAGCCGAAGAGCATTTCTCATTGGTGCATTAATTTTTCCTAACAGATAAGGAGGAGGATCGAATCGCTCTAACAAAGACGATGCCCCCCCCCCCGACTCCTCCCATACGACTAGCGCGCACTGCTGCTCCAGAACGACTTTCTGGTACAATTAGAGAAATAGGTCAATAGCTTTCAGGTACCTGCTGCTATTGACAAATGCCAAAAGGCTGGAATTACCGTCCGAATGGTCACCGGTGATAATATCAATACTGCACGATCGATTGCTACAGCATGTGGAATCCTACGGCCAGGAGCAGATTTTCTCGCTCTTGAGGGAAAGGACTTCAATGCGAGGTTCGAAAGAAACTTTTGAGGCATAGACCTTTATTCAGCCAGCTTTGGACTGTTTTCCTCTGAACTT